ATACGCTGACTGCATATCTCTTTGATGTGCAAATTAACAGTTATTGATACTCGAAGCATCATATGTAAAGTGTTATTATAATAAATAAATTTTATAATTATATTTAATAACAAATCAGTACATATAACAAATAAAATTTATAAAAAAACTTCCCTTTTGCACTTTTAATAAATGTTACGTGAAATAATATTTTTAATAAGAAAAACCTCATATGCATTTGTATCGTTATATTCAAATTTATTCCTCAAGCCAATTATGCATACTAACTATTTAATTTATAAAAATATTATAGATTTAATTCCACTATTACTTTATTCAATTTTAGTTATATAAGTCAGTAGTTTATTCAAAATAAACAACTACTGTGGTTAGATTCTCACGGTTAATAAAACTATCCAGACTTCTCGATCATTAGCTCTAATTCGAAACAATTCTCACATTATATTCAATTTTATGCTTAAGTTTAAATAGCATAAATATTACCAAAAATAAATATAAATCAACAACATACCTTTTCTTTATGTCGTTCATATTGTAAAATGAATGACTTCGAAACTTGTGCTGACACATGGACTGCCAAGTTATCTTTGGAATGCTCAAACTTTCTTACAAAATCAAGCATGATGTCAACACCCCCGCAGCCGAAATGTTTTTTTCTTCTTCTATATACTCTTTGCAATAACATTCTTTTACCCCATTGTCAAAGTTCACGCCCTGGTAACATGACAAAGACATAACCAAAACACAATATTGTTTGCTTTGCAAGACTGAACGACGCGTTTTGTAAAAATGCACGGAGTGCTAACTCTTCAAAATTGAGTTTTTGTTGTTGTTTTGCATGTAAAATGGTTAAATCTTTCTTGGTTTATCTAAAGCAGCTGTCAAGCTTTGCACGAGTCTCCGTATCAGAATTTTCACACCTTTCCTATCAGTGCCATTAGGGTTATAGTAGCTTCGTGACTATAACCTTGTTTCGAGTTGCAGTTGGTAGGGAGGAAGGGTTGCTTTAATATTTGGCATCATAATCAGTTGCTCATCTCTGAAACAAGCGCCAAGTTTAGTTTTTATTTTTGCTGCAAACTTAATATTGCTATTTTAAAATCAGGCAAGCATTCTATTTTGGATTAAACTTTGAAGGACAATTAAATGAGTTAATTTCAGCTGTTTCTCTTCTTTTTTATTGTGTTTTCTTTGTAATTAAAATTCGTAAAAGTTTTCGTAGTGATAAATAAATAATAATTTTTTAAAGCAATATTCTAACTAAAATATAAAAAAATTGTTAATTTTCTTTTTTTACCTCAGTGTCAGTTGTCGTCATTTAAAATGTAAGAATATTAGGTAATATTTTTGGAATTTTAAAACAATTTTCTATATTTAGCCTCATTGCGGCAAGAAAAATCAAGAAAAAAATTATCGTACAGTTTTAAAAAACTTTGTTAAATAATTGAACTAATTATATCGAAAACAGACCATCTCCAATTTAAATCCATTGGAGATTTACTTTTAATTCACTAATGCTTTAGTATTCACTAATTTAATTCACAGTGATTTTCATTTTCGAGTTATTTATTTAATACTATTAATTATTTTATTATTATTCATAAGTATTTTGCTAATGATAATATACTGATCAACAATTAAAATTTATGTTTTTCTTTATTTTAATAATTTTTCGTAGTAAAGAATTAAAAATGTCTGTTAGAAATAATTTTCTCGTTAAACATTCAAATACAACAATTGACCAAATCAATCGTTAATCATTCTTGAAACCTATTAACATAGTTGAAAAACGTTTGGCTTTCTAAAGTAAATTTAAAATATATTTTAATAGTCATGGAATAAAAAAAAAACAATTAAGAAAATATTTAATATTGTTAAAGATGTTTATAGTTCAATAATAAATATCGTACAAATTTATTTCCTGCGCTTATTTTGCAAATATATGAAACAAAATAATTATAAAAACTTTTTTACTTTAATAATTTTTCGTATTAAAGAATTAAAAATATCTGTTAGAAATAGTTTTCTCGTTAAACATTCAAATACAACAATTGACCAAATCAATTGTTAATCATTTTTGAAACCTATTAACATAGTTGAAAAACATTTGCCTTCCAAAAGTAAATTTAAAATATATTTTAATTTTCATGGAATAAAAAAAACAATGAAGAAAATATTTAATATTGTTAAAGATGTTTATAATTCAATGATAAATATCGTACAAATTTATTTCCTGCGTTTATCTCACAAATATGTGAAACAAAATATTTATATAAACTTTTCAAAAAAAATTTTTAAAGCTATTATATGAAACATAAAATAAAAGAAGCATTTAATAATAATATAAATTATTATTTCCTTAAATGCTGAAACTGTTAATTGTAACAACTGTTTATAATAACAGTTTTTTAGAAAAGAATAAATAATATCAATAAAATAAGTTTAATATAATAAATGTTTTCAATAAGATAATAAATATCAATTCTTGGATGAAATACATATATTATTTCAAACATATGTACATATAAAATAAAAAATTGATTTATTCATAAAAAAAAACAATTTCATAATTCGGGATTTTCGTTTTTACCGATGACCGAAACAATTTCTTGTATCTGTAAAACTGTTTCTCTGCAATAGCTGACGCACAGCAGAGAAGGTGAACGCATACAAACAGTGCGCAAAATAAAAACGGACCACCCTAAGTAATTTTTGCTCTAATGAACGGATCTTCACGTTTTAGGACTCATTCTTAATAATTCGAGGGGGTAAATTCAAATATGTTAATTAATTAGTGTAGATGGTATTTTAAGCTATGAAATCAGACACAAAAACGTACTTTCCCTGAATAAACATAATAGTTTTTCGACGGGTCCAGATTTCTAACTTCCAAAACATAGGAGGTAGTCTCAATCAGAGAAATGTGGTCTCAATAGTTTGGTCAGAAGAGCTGTTCAAAGTTTGGCCTGAATTGTTAATTTAACTTTTTACGTATTTCGCCATATCTCAAGAAATTTCGAAGCGAATAGAAAATTTTTGCACACAATTATGAAATTCGTTTGTTCATGCAAAAATTAACTTTCAAAACTTATTTACTATTTTTTATTATTTTATTTAACATTAGTAGAAAAAAATTTGAATTGTATGGTATACAATTTTTTACATCGTTCTAAAGAATGCATTTTTACATGGTCAAATACAAGATTTGAGTGAAGTCGATCGAATAGTTCCTGAGAAATCAAAATTCGAAAAAGCCGTGTTTTAAAAATTCAATTTCTCAGGAACTATTTGACTGATTTCACTCACATTTTGAAATTTGCCGTGCAAAATTATATTCTTTTAAATCATATATACCTTAAAATTCAAAATTTCTTCAACTAATATTAAATAAAATGATAAAAAATAATAAATATTACATTAAATTTTGCATGGAATTACCTTTGGAAACTGCATAGTAATAAAATTTTTACTTCTGCAGTTCTGAATTTTTTCACCTTTATAGAAGATCAAATGACTGAAAAGAAATAACTATTATTTAAATATTTGGACTGCTTATTTCAAATTAGCCCGAAATTTGAAGACAATACACGGAATTAATTGAAAAATTTGTTTCAGATTTTTAAATAATTAAATAAAAATTGCGATTTTGATGTTGATTTTGAATTCAAAAATATTAAAAATTATCCTAAAATGATTAATAATATTAATGTTTAAAATAAGTTCTCAAGTATAAAAATTTGAGTACAAAATAACTTCAATTATTATGCCCTTATAGTGTTAGAAAATATTTTTTAGTTGTATCATAATTCACGAGTAGTAAAATATTTAATATCCATAAGTTGTTAGGTAAATATTGGTCGATAACTTACTGAGCTGTAAAACTATTTCACTGCAATAACTGATATAAGACAGGAAAGACTCAAAAGAACCTGATGTTTCCTTGCGTGGGTTAGGAGGAAAAGATTTAAAACTGCTTCAAGGGAGAAAGAGAGCGAGAAATAATTGCTTACCCAATAAAAAGAGACTTTCCGTAATTAAGTTAACTTAACTATTTTGCATTATAAACAAATAAATTATTTAGGTTTAAATTAAAAGCAAAATTAAAGAATTAAAAATGAAGTATAAAAGATACTTGATAAGCCTTTCAGTTATTTTTACAGCAGTAAAATAATTGAAACTAACTTCTGTTATTTTTCTAAAATTTTAATTGTTTAAAAAAATGCAATTAAAGTAATAATAAATAAATAAAATAAAGTAGCTTATTTTATGTATTTTTAAGATCCTTTTTCTCCACTCTTCGAAATTTTTAGGACTAGGAGAATTTTGAAATTTGCCTTTTGAGACTAATATTTTAATCGTTTTACAGCAAAATTGACTTTTTACATTAGTAAAAAGAAAACTAGCAAGTATACATTTTTATACATTTAAAATAAAAAGCAAAGCGAATAAAATATAATTCCTTGAAAATATGCTTCAAAGAAAGCCAGTTTCAGATGAACTAAATTTTATAAAAAATTTCAATATTTCTGAAGGATTCCATAATCTTTTAAAATATTTTAGAACTTAAATAGAAGGCGCGACAGCTAGTTAGTCTTATTGAAAGAGTTTTATATTTAAAATGACTCTATAAATAAAATGTATAGAAATATTAATTTGTTTTCATTGAAAATAATACCTTTTTAGATACATGAAACGATTAAAAAAGTAAAATATGCATTCTTTAAGAAAAAACTTAAATTTTTAAAGGTAAGCTTTTAGAATTATTAAAATATTGTCTTTAAAAAAGAATTTATAAAACTATTAAGTTTTCAAAACCTGCTATATTAGAAACTAGAAAACCTTGAACATCTTCTTTCAAGAGCTTTTAGTTTGTTTGAAAATGCTTACTACTTTTTTAATAACCTTTTGTTTCGGATTTGCTTTAAATTAGGTATTCAAACCTTTTTAATAAGATGTTATTATTAATTATTATATAATTATAATTTATTTTATGCTATAAGTTTTACTGCAATATATTTTCAGTTTTATTTCTTTTAATTTATTTTCTAGTAAACTCCGTAATTTTAATAAATTCTTAATCTATTAGCTCTTAATTTTAATTTATAATGGACTAGAGATCAGTAATTTAATATTAAACTCTAAAATAAATAATAATTTTTTTTCAAAATTTGTATAGGTTTAGAAATGAAGTATTTTTATTCTTAATTGTCTTTAAAAATTGGTTGTTTATTTAAACCAGATATTAAAAAAAGTGAGTTATAAAAACATTTATTAAATGGTATAATCTATATATATATTTCTCTTACACGGCGATAAAAAAAAGCCTCATTACAACTCCCCGAATGGCAACGCTAGAAAATAGACCAATGATTACAGCTAAAAATGTCACATGCCAAATCTAGCTAAGATGGCTCAACATATAGCGCTTTTAAAAACGGAAACGGAAATAACCAGGGAGAGCATAAGCTAGGCAGAAGTCTTTGTCGAGATCTTTATTTTGGTTTTTTGTCGAAAGCGTTTTTTTTTCTCACGAATTTATGTATTACGAATTTATTTGACAATTTTTGATTTATATCACGAATTTATTCGTTTTACTAGAATTTATTTGTTTATGCAGGTTTTTCCATCGCAATTCACTTATTTAAATTTTTAATGGACTTAATTATAGCCGAAATTTTAATCTTTTTAAAGAGATATCAGTTTTAGAAATTTTATCTTAAGATTTTATACTATAGCACATTTCTAATTGATTTAAGGAATTACATGTCATTTATTTGAATTCAAATTTATTTTAAGGAGTCAGTACTTACTAAAAAGATGCAATTTTTTTTAGAAAAAAAAGTTGTTATATGGATTTGAATGATTGTTTTGAATTCTTAGAATTTTGTGCATTTGCAACGTACCTAAGTTAGTAGCGAGCGAAGCGAGCTTGGTTTGCGGAGCAAACCATATAACATTGCGTAGCAATTTTCGGGGGTTGGCGAGCGTTAGCGA